AAATACGAGTTACGTCAATTTTACGTCAGATTATCAAAACTCAATCGAAAAATTCAAACGTTTATAAGTTTTTGTTGAAATTCATTCGACTTTGCTTACAATCTATATGACTATATTTTTAATTTATAATAATAAAATCAACCGCCTCTTGACCGGAACTTCTTGCTGCTGGGCTTTGAAAATCACCAAAATCGCTAAATACGAGTTACGTCAATTTTACGTCAGATTATCAAAACTCAATCGAAAAATTCAAACGTTTATAAGTTTTTGTTGAAATTCATTCGACTTTGCTTACAATCTATATGACTATATCTTTAATTTAAAATAATAAAATCAACCGCCTCTTGACCGATACAACATGCTGCTGGGCTTTGAAAATCACCAAAATCGCTAAATACGAGTTACGTCAATTTTGCGACAGATCATCAAAATTCAATCAAATAATTCACATAATTCCAAGGTTTTGTTGAAATTCATTTGACTTTGCTCACAACTGTATCTTTAATTTGAAATACCTAACTCAACTCCCTCTTCTCCGGATTGTAATGTTCGTCTGACGTCATTGTTGCTTTAGATTTCTTACCGTAGCTGATTTAGTTGAAATACAAATCCATTTTATGATGTCCACATTGTTTATAAAATTGAATAATATACGCTATGTTTGGTATTATATATGGCCAAGTCAAAACGTTCTGCCACTGTTCTGGTATAGTGAAGTCGAATCTATAAGGTATCTGCTTTTCTCCGAATGTATCACGGGGCTGTCTTTATTGGCCGTTTCGAGAAATCGACGTTCCAAAAACGATTATAATCTTGTATACCTGAAAAATCATTTTAAATCACTTAGTCTTTTTTAAAACACTATTTTTCAGTCAAATTCGTTGTATTCATTCAGTTTAGAGATTTTTTCATGATTTCCGTGGTAAAATTATACTTTATCAACCTTTTCAATCTTTATATGTAATTATAAGTGAACATTATATGCGCGTGGAAACTATATTCAATATGTAAAAATATTCTGGCTGAAAATGCTGCTAGTTTCACAGTGGTCTCAGCACTACAGCATGTGAAGGGACGGACTAAAAGTAGGCACTTGCAAATTAGGCACTTTTTTAGGCACTTATTTAGGCACTTTGAAAAAAAAAGTAAAAAGGGCGTAACACCTTTTAAAAACATAATTAATTAGTTAAAAATGGTCAAATTAAATGTTGAAAACGCAAATTGCAACGGGCAAACTCAATAGCAATATTTAAAACGCAGTATTAAAGGCAGTCGCACGCGCTTGGTCACCACACATGCTAGGCACATACTTAGGCACTTCGAAAAATGAATAAAATGGCATATTCACTAATAAAAGACTGAGAAATAAACATATTACCCACACTGATTAACCTGGTTAAATATCTAAGAGATGCACTTGAGTCTAGTACTGGAATTTAGAAATAATAAATTGTTACCGGTAGGCACTTTTTTAGGCACCTATTTTAGGCACATCGAAAAAAAGGTGAAATAGACGTAGTAACTCCTAGAAAGAAAATGAATTAGTTCAAAATATTTAACTCAAATGTTGAACGCGAAAATTGCAACAGTTAAACCCAATACTGTAATGATTTTTAAAACGTAATACTAAAGGGAGAAGCACGCGCTCTGTCACCACATATGCTAGGCACGCATTTAGGCACTTCGAAAAATAAAGAAAAGGGCAATTATCACTATCAAAAAACAGGGAAATAAAAATATTACCCACACTGATTAGCCTGGGTAAATATCCAACAGATGCACTTGAGTCTAGTACTGGAATTTAGAAATAATAAATTGTTACCGGTAGGCACTTTTTAGGCACTTATTTAGGCACATCGAAAAAAAAGGTGAAATGGGCGTAATAACTTTTAAAATGATAATTAATTAGTTAAAAATTGTCAAATTAAATGTATAGCACGCAAATTGCAATGGGTGAACCGAATAACAATATTTAAAACGTAGTATTAAAAGGAGTCACACGCGCTCGGTCACCCCATATGCTAGGCACATATTTAGGCACTTTGAAAAAAGAAGAAAATCGGAATTATCACCAATAAAAGACAGAGTATTAAAAACTTTACCCACACTGATTAGCCTGGGCAAATATCCAAAAGATGCACTTGAGTCTAGTACTGGAATTTAAAAATAATAAATTGTTACCGGTAGGCACTTCGGAAAAAAGTTGAAATGAACGTAGTAACTCCTAGAAAGAAAATGAATTAGTTCAAAATATTTAAATTAAATGTTGAACGCGAAAATTGCAACAGTTAAACCCAATAACGATTTTTAAAACGTAGTATTGAAGGGAGACGCAAGCGCTCTGTCACCACGTATGCTAGGCACATATTTAGGCACTTCGAAAAATAAAGAAAATGGCAATTATCACTAATAAAAGACAGAGAAATAAACATATTACTCACACTGATTAGCCTGGGCAAATATCCAATAGATGCACTTGAGTCTAGTACTGAAATTTAGGAATAATAAATTGTTACCAGTGGGCACTTCGAAAAAAAGGTGAAATGGACGTAGTAACTCCTAAAAAGATAATGAATTAGTTCAAAATATTTAAAAGTTGAACGCGGAAATTGCAACAGGTAAACCCAATAACGATTTTTAAAACATAGTATTGAAGGGAGACGCACGCGCTCTGTCACCACAAATGCTAGACACATATTTAGACACAAATATAAAGAAAATGGTAATTATCATGGATAAAAATACAGAAAATAAAAATATTAGTCAAAATAATTAGCCTATTTGAATATCCGATGAATGCACTTGAGTCTAGTAGTGATATTTGAGAATAATAAATTGTTTCCGGTAGGCACTTTTTAGTCACTTATTTAGACACTTCTAGAAATGCGTAAAATGGGCGTAATACTAATAACTTTTAAAATGATAATGAATTAGTTTAAAATATTTAAATTAAAAAATTAATATGCAAATTGCAACAAGTAAACCCAATGATATCGGTTTTTATATTTTGCATATTTGAAAATATCTTAATTCTTTACTTTGTAATTTTGTTTTTAAATAATTAAAATATAAGACATCCCCTGAAAATAATCCCTAGTGGTAATTTTAGGAAGAAATTTGAAATAAGACACTGTCTTAATTTCGGGGAAACACGGTAAAAGGTGTCTACCGGTAACAATTTATTATTCTCAAATACCACTACTAGACTCAAGTGCATCTATTGGATATTTACCCAGGCTAATCAGTGTGAGTAATATGTTTATGTCTCTGTCTTTTATTAGTGATAATTGCCATTTTATTTATTTTTCGAAGTGCCTAAATATGTGCCTAGCATATGTGGTGACCAAGCGCGTGCGACTGCCTTCAATACTACGTTTTAAATATTGTTATTGAGTTTGTCCGTTGCAATTTGCGTTTTCAACATTTAATTTGACCATTTTTAACTAATTAATTATGTTTTTAAAAGGTATTACGCCCTTTTTACTTTTTTTCCAAAGTGCCTAAATAAGTGCCTAAAAAAGTGCCTAATTTGCAAGTGCCTACTTTTAGTCCGTCCCTGTGAAAAATACAATTGAATAATTCCATGCCGGAATTGCTCTGGAATTGAATTCGGCAATAAAAGGTTTCTCGGGGTTATTTACTTCTGTGAATGCTGCGTTGGGATAACATTTTAGATTCGTTAGGGAGTGAAGAAAGCCAACGTTGTTGCAAGACCTTACGCAGTACGGTACCGGTACCGGCACTGCGGCAAAACTGCAAGAACTCTACGCAAAATGTTTTTGATTATATTTTTTCTGTTGCATTAAAAATCAATCATTGTGTACTGAATAATAATTACAAGACTTGTATTTTACTAGATTTAACTCACCTATGTTATTCACATTTGTCCAAAATAGAACGGAATGCTATAATATTATTATTTTGCACTGCCAGACACAAAATTTGGCTTGAAAGGAATACAGTAATTTTTCAAAAAGTTAATCCAAATGTTAGCAATGTAATCATGAAAATTAAGAAGTCACTTATAGCAAGAAGAAATATAGAAAAGTTGAGACAATATCCTAATTTTACAAGAGAACTAGATATCATTTATAATAACTTGTGAATTTTTAACGATGTGATATATAGTATCAAAACTAATAGATATTAAAAATTTTTTTTTTTAATAATTAATACTAAAAAATATAAATAATGATCAAACATTATGGATTATGGAAATTACATGATGGACATATCAATGGCAATGGGATACTATGGACAATACAATCAATGGACTGTAATGAAATGCTTCGTTATTTTTGTATACTTGGTTATTGTTGTTCATATATTATTTTATGATTTTTATATATTGCATAAACCACATTGTGGAAACATAAAAAAAAAAAAAAAAAAAAAAAAAAGAACTCTAGCAACCCACTCGTTCATTATCATCTTTCACTAGATTCAAACCTGCGAACTAACACAGGGTACGGTACGGTATCGTAATCGAGGTTGCGGTGGTCAACGTATTGCGCATTCATAACAATTAGCACGAAATCCTATATTTATATTCCAGTTCAGTCAGTCAGTGTCATTCAGTCATTCAAATAACTGAACACCGGTAGTGATTCCATGTTCATGTTCTGATGTTGTCTGTGTTGTAGGCAACATTTCTACTATTACAAATCATAGTAACATGACTCACTCACCCGATTTAACTGAAATTCTTTATTATATATGTATAATGATCATTTTCTAAACACTGAACCAGTTATGAAATGTGATGATACCGGTATTAGAATTTTCACACCTATGCACTTTGATGAAGTTGAGATTATTCGTGTCTAGTGTAGGCCTAGTTTCGTACTTCAAGTACTTCTGCTGGGCGTGGCATATGTCAGTTCTAACCCCAAAAATTGTTACCCTACTGCCCTATGCCAACTATAAGTACTTGAGGTATGAAACTACTCGAGACCAGATTATTTTGATACAGGCATTCAAAATAATAATGGAAAGTTATTGGACTCTGATTTTGCATCGCTTCTTTCAAAATATTCCAGTTCATACCGGTTTAGATATGTATAGATACCGTAATTGATTTACAACAGATACCTTCAACTGCAGTTTCTGTAGAATGGCTCTGGTACGAAGCAATATTCTGAGCCGAGTTTTTTATAAGCCTTCCATGCTTGAAACGAAACTTCATTTACCACTTCTTGAACAAGTCCGATACCGCAAGCCGAAGTGGTTACTACCACGTCGAGCACCTTCAAAAGCAGGGATATATTTTAATAAACCGAGACCTACGGAACATGATGTAAAGAAAAGTGAATTAATCTATAAATCTTATAATGAAATGCTGAGATCAATAGCTGCTGCTTTCCAAGAAGAAATATTGATAAACGAAGCTAAAAAGGAATCAAAAACTGTCTCAAAAAATAGTTTCGATGAACAAAGCCACCATGAAAAATGTATGGCGTATAATGAAGCTCATAACAAAGAAATGCGGGAAAAACGAGAACAAAAACTCGATCGAATATTGGAAAATCAAGAACAACAATTGAGCCAGAAAGTCAGTTTATTAGAAAAAAAATTCGAACATAAACTTGCTAAATATGAGCAAGAAGTTTTGACAGCGATAGACGAATCTGAAAATTGGATTAGCGAGGAAAATTTGGAAGAAAAAATTGAAGAAGCTTTAGACAATGTGGTTAACTTTAATTTTGCTGTTAAAAGAAATGGCAGAATTGCGTTAAGAACTGTGATACCATAGCATTTTAATCTGTGATGCTAAAGTGCATGGGATTCGTAAAGTCTTGTTACAATTAGATTGGCAACTGACTTCATAACGAAGTTTTGAAATTGCACTATTTAGTAAAACTAAAATCAGTTTTGCGGCTAGCAATGTGGCCCCTCTCCAACTGCTCTGTGGCTTCCTTAGGGGGCCACAGGCCCGTGGTTGGGAACCACTGCCACAGTATTTTCTGCTGTGGTGCAGTACATGGTGCTCATAAAGTCTTGTAACAAATACAAAACATTGAGAACTGACTTCATGACAAAACATGGTGCTCATAAAGTCTTGTAACAAATACAAAACATTGAGAACTGACTTCATGACAAAAATTTTAATTTGTGGTAGGATTCCATGATGATCCTGTCCATCTTTTGTTTGGGACCTGGTTTAGTATGATTCCAACTTCGTCCTCTGGTGGGAATCATTGAGACATTGAATCAGTGAAAGTGCTGCTATATGTTACTTTTTTTGTGGATAAGGTTTTGAGTAATAAATCGTACAAAAGTTGGCTAGTTGGCCCAGGTTTGAATAAAATTTTGCTTTGTTTGAAGTTTCGCTTTCACGACTGCTAGTAAACTCCAGTACGATTGATTTCAATCTATCTTATTTAATGTTTGTGGCAAAATATATTTCATCCGAAAATGGAGCGTCTTTATTAATGAACTGTTTTGTAAAATCAGTATCGATATATGCTAATGCTCAAAATATTGTGTGGAAGTATTCATGCCGTCTTTTTTTATCTTATAGTCTTTAACCCATAGGAAGGACTGAATTCCTGATAATACATTCTTTATGTTTTGGAATCATCTTCATCATTTAAACTCTAAAACTTTTAGAATTCTGTACCGTTAGACCTATTGTAGAATAAGAATATGCCATCTGTGGATGAGCTGGTCTTGGAAGAAGATGACCTACCTTATGAAGAAGAGATATTGCGCAATCCATTCTCTGTCAAATGCTGGCTGAGGTAGGTTTATTTATTTGTTTTTTAATCACATATCCAGAATAGGGCTCTACACAAGCGCCCACTGCTAGTTTGGGATCTACTATTGATCAAAAGAGCCAGAATCTTTCTGGCCCGACATTGCCTAGACGTGACATGGGCAAGCAACGGCGAATTCAATCTGATGCTTCCACAACCAAACTAAATTCGTATTTTGATGTTTTAGGAAAAATTACCTCAGAAATTTGTCGAGATTGCGATAAAATTTAGTTTTGTCACGAAGCTCATTGTTTACATTTTTGCTTTTGTAACACTGTAAATAAAATTCTGTTTATAAAATGTAACTTTTAATGTCACGCTTACATGGCCCCCCAGTCTAGGTGGGCAAAATTTTTGGCCTCTGGTTTAAAAACCTTGCTCAACCGTAGCCTGGCAGGGTGAGGTGACTATGGAATTTGAACTCCTGATTTTACCTTGAAGTGTAACTCTTCAACAACTAAACCCTTCCGACTCAGGTTGGTGTTTAATGATTAGAACATGGACTTCGCTAAACTTTTATTTTCACTATCAAGTTGTTGTGTATGCTCAGATGTTACACCTGGAGGGTTATTAGGCGTTGATAATGCATATGATGACCCACTGGAAACCAAAGTATAAAGTACACCTTAGCTTGGAACAGATGGCAAATATCTGTGACTTTACAACCCAATTCTCCAGGTATTATTCGCACCTGGATATAATGTGCAAAACGACCCACTTATACCTCAAACTCACCCATCTAAATTCATGCCATTCTGAAAATTCAGCATCTCTGCAGAGCGATTTCGACACTGTAACCCCCCTGTCTGCGCCACTGCTGAAATCCAATTATTCTGTCTATACCCATGTTGCTTGCTAATCTTCCAATGTTATTCCCTGCAGCAAATACCTATTGCTTCACATCAGGTAAACAAGCAGCCAACGATTGTTATCGACAACAGTTATTTGTGAATAAACTGTTCTTTATTCACGGTTTCATATTGAGTTTTGAACCTGTGGCCCAGTAACCAAGTCTATTGAATATAAGGAAAGTAGTATAGTAAAAGAAAGCCCACCCCGACTCTGAATGCTTTATATGCGAAAGTCCTAAGTTATTTCATTTTTTCCAGGTACATTGATCACAAAGAAAATGCACCTTATAAGCAGCTCAACATGGTCTATGAGAGAGCTTTGAAAGAACTTCCTGGAAGCTATAAGTTATGGTACAACTATCTACGAATCAGACGAAGCCAGGTTAAAGGTCGATGTCCTACGGACTCAATGTTTGAAGAAGTTAATAACGCACATGAACGAGCGTTAGTTTTTATGCACAAAATGCCCCGAATTTGGATAGATTATTGTAAATTTCTTGTGGATCAAAGATGTTTGACGAGAACGCGTCGTACTTTTGATCGCTGCCTTGAAGCTCTTCCAGTGACGCAGCATGATCGGATTTGGCCGTTGTATATTGAATTTGTGAAAAAATATCCCATTCATGAAACGGCGGTTCGAGTTTTTCGTAGAATGCTGAAACTCATTCCAGAAGAAAGTGAAGACTATGTGGAATATTTAATATCGATTGATCGTTACGATGAGGCAGCTACAAAACTTGCGGAAATTGTTAACGACGAGAGTTTTGCGTCGAAACATGGAAAGACAAATCATTTACTTTGGCATGAGTTATGTGAACTCATTTCGAAGAATCCTGATAAAGTACATTCGCTAAAAGTCGAGGCAATTATTCGTGGTGGTTTAAAACGTTTCACTGACCAATTAGGACAACTTTGGTGCGCTTTAGCTGATTATTACATCAGAAGCGGACTTTTTGAACGAGCGAGAGAGATTTACGAAGAAGCAATAGAAACTGTGACCACTGTCCGTGATTTTACACAAATTTTCGATGCGTACGCTCAATTTGAAGAGTCCGTTATTAGTTCGAAAATGGAAGAGGCGGCTGAAGAGGAACAGAATGAAGAAGATGACATTGATATTGAATTACGACTCGCAAGGTTCGAACATTTAATTACGAGACGTCCATTACTTCTCAATAGCGTCCTCTTGAGGCAGAATCCACACAATGTAAACGAATGGCTTAAACGAGTCGAGCTTTACGAAGATAACTTAGCACAGGTCATCAACACATACACAGAAGCTATACAGACAATAGAAATACCAAAATCTGTTGGAAAGATTTCTAATCTCTGGGTTTCCTTCGCTAAATTCTATGAAAAGCATGATCAAATTGACGACGCTCGTACAATTTTTGGAAAAGCGGTCCTCGTGTCTTACAAAGGCGTTGAAGATCTGGCCACCGTGTGGTGTGAGTGGGCTGAAATGGAACTACGACACGAAAATTTTGATGGCGCAATCAATTTAATGAAACGAGCGACTGCAATGCCACCTAAACGCGCTGGATATTTCGACCATACCGAACCAGTCCAAAATAGAGTATACAAATCATTGAAACTCTGGTCCATGTACGCTGATTTAGAAGAGAGTTTCGGGACCTTCCATACTTGTAAAGCTGTTTATGATCGTATCTTGGATCTCCGAATCTCCACTCCGCAAATTATTATCAATTACGGAATGTTTTTGGAGGACAACCGTTATTTTGAAGAGGCTTTTTAAGGCTTTATGAACGAGGTGTCGGGATGTTTAAATGGGCCAAACGTTTTCGATCTTGGAATACATATTTGACTAAATTCATTGCAAGGTATGGTGGAAAGAAACTAGAGCGCGCTAGAGATCTTTTTGAGCAAGCTTTAGACGGATGTCCCCCCAAGTTCGCAAAAAATTTGTATCTCTTATACGCCAAGCTTGAAGAAGAACATGGGTTATCAAGACACGCAATGGCAGTCTACGAAAAAGCTACGAAGGCCGTTTTACCAGAAGAAAAATACGATATGTTTAATATTTATATTAAACGTGTGGCGGAAATATACGGAGTTACACATACAAGGCCGATATACCAACGTGCGATTGAATCACTCGAAGATGCTCAAGCGAGAGATGTTTGTCTCCGATTTGCTGATCTCGAACAGAAACTTGGTGAAATTGACAGAGCAAGAGCGATTTATGCTTTCTGCTCTCAGATGTGTGATCCAAGGTGAGTGTGATTTTCCATACCACCCAATGTACCCTCGTAGATGTCAGCAACCAACTAATCTATTATTCGTAAATCAGAGGTGTGCAACACAATCCAGCCTGCCAAGTAAACTTCGCTGTACTTTTTTTTAGTATTTTTCGTAAAATTGGCACGTCCAGGGACAGGGGTGTGCATCAGCCGGCTTGCGTCCCTCGCCATGCCATTTAGTGTGGCCTTTGTCAACACTCAGATTTATCCCCATCAAGCATAAAATCCTAAACCAACAGTTTGCGGACAAGAAGTTTGCAAGAAATATCCACCTAGATAAATATATAGTGGTATATAAACACATGGATAAATTGTAATTCCATACCTTAATTTTCATTTTACTTATTCCATTTTGTTTTCAGAACCACAGCTGAATTCTGGCAGACGTGGAAAACTTTCGAAGTAAAACACGGAAATGAAGACACAGTTCGTGAGATGTTACGAATCAAACGAAGCGTTCAAGCAACCTATAATACTCAAGTCAACTTCATGTCGGCTCAAATGCTGGCTGCTGCTTCCAACACTACAGGTATTGATAGTATTTTTTCATCATCATAAGGCTTTGTTATCTAAGGATCTACAGCAGGGGTAGATATGGTTTTAAGACCAGGGGACAAGAATTTTTCCACCTAAACTGGCGGGCCGCGTAAGTGTGACGAAAAAGTTACATTTTATGAACAATATTTACAGTGCTACAAAAGCAAAAGTGGAAAACAATAAGTCCTGTTGTAAGTCCCAAAGTTGTTACACCCTGGTGAACCCATAATCCATTACTCAGGTAGTTGCACTCTTTAATTTGGATTTAGATTTCAGTAATTAATAAGTAGTCACACCCAAATGATGATATTTTTGTTTGGTATATTTTTATTTTTGAAATTTTTTATTGCAATTCATCAAATTAGATTTTGTAACACTGTAAATATTTACGCCACACTTGCATGGCCCGCCAGTCTAGGGTGGGGCGAAAATTTTTGGCCCCTGGTTTAAAAACTGATTTTGGCACATTTCTATTCCTCCTAATTAGAATAAGGAGATCAATTTTGTTGACAGCAACACAGAAAAAAATTCAAATTTCCCGATTTGTTATTCTTCCAGGTACTTCGGCCGATCTTGCACCTGGTGATCCGGGAACCGATGAAATGAAACTTCTCGAAGCCAAAGCTCAGG